AGCTGTTGTAGTTGTAGTAGTAGTTGTAATAGTAGTTGTAGTTGTAGTTGTTGTAGTTGTAGCTGTTGTAGTTGTAGCTGTTGTAGTTGTAGCTGTTGTAGTTGTAGTAGTAGTTGTAATAGTAGTTGTAGTTGTAGCTGTTGTAGTTGTAGCTGTTGTAGTTGTAGCTGTTGTAGTTGTAGTAGTAGTTGTAATAGTAGTTGTAGTTGTAGTTGTTGTAGTTGTAGCTGTTGTAGTTGTAGCTGTAGTAGTTGTAGCTGTTGTAGTTGTAGTAGTAGTTGTAGTTGTGGTCTAGGTACTCACCTTGACCATGTCCAGGTACCCGTCCGCCTGCACCGTGGGAGCCTCCTTGGTCATGGTCATGACTGCCCGCACCACGTTGGTCGTGCTGTCGTACACACCGTCGTTCACACGCGACAGCTGCCAACACAAACACACAATATATATATATATATATATATATATATATATATAAACTGGCTGGACCCCCTTTCCAAGAAAGGAATGATCGGTGCATTAACATCAACGGAAAGTCATTGGCCGACTATATTTACACTCTGCTGGAAAGGAGCAATAAATCTTGAGAGATGCAAAAAAAATTAGGTCTAGATAAAGAGATGTATAGATTGATTCTCTATTCCACTTTTGAGGCTGTATACTCCAGAATTTCAACTTAGAAGACGCACTTTCCCAAGATTAGATCTAAACGAAACTAATGAAAAACTGAAAATTAAACGACAGTGACTTCAGACTCCTCAGTGAAACTGTGCACCCTTTCAATGATTCTGAACCCCCGTCAATTTTTTCAAATCCGAAAGTTAAGCGGTTCCGAAGATTTAGGCGGCCAAAGTGACGAACTTTCACAAATAGAATATAATGTATAGATAGATATAGATAGATATAATATATAAAACCTTGTTGTTTACCCTTCCTACAGGACAAGTGTGAACACACATAATAAACAGGTCAACGTACACACACTACTGCTTCCACCTCACCGCTGCATACTTCATGCACAGTAGAGGAGAGGATCAATTGGCTCACACAGGTCAACATCTAACAGTCCCAATGTATTGTAACACAGACAAACAAACATCTAACAGTCCCATTGTATTGTAACACAGACAATTTAAAAGGAACATCTAACAGTCCCATTGTATTGTAACACAGACAAAAGGAACATCTAACAGTCCCATTGTATTGTAACACAGACAAAAGGAACATCTAACAGTCCCATTGTATTGTAACACAGACATCCACTGACAACCTAGTCAAGTCTTGTACGTCAAAGACATCCGCTGACACTGACAACCTAGTCAAGTCTTGTACGTCAATGACATTCGCTGACACTGACAACCTAGTCAATTCTTGTACGTCAAAGACATCCGCTGACAACCTAGTCAAGTCTTGTACGTCAAAGACATCCGCTGACACTGACAACCTAGTCAAGTCTTGTACGTCAATGACATTCGCTGACACTGACAACCTAGTCAATTCTTGTACGTCAAAGACATCCGCTGACAACCTAGTCAAGTCTTGTACGTCAAAGACATA